GGAATGACGGGTGGAGACGGAAACGGACGAAAGAAGACGGGGACAAACGGAGAAGGCCGAGGAGCTACGGAAAGGGCCGAGGGGAGACAGGGGGAGACGGAAAGACACGAATGAAGACGGGAAGAGCCGAAGAAAGTCGAGAAAGGCCGAGAGAAAACGGAAAGGGCCGAGGGAACACGGGAAATGCCGACGGAAGACGGGAAGCGCCGAAGAAAGTCGGGAAAGGCCGAGAGAAAACGGAAGGGGCCGAGGGAACACGGGAAATGCCGACGGAAGACGGGAAGAGCCGAAGAAAGACGGGAAGAGCCGAAGAAAGTCGGGAAGAGCCGAAGAAAGACGGGAAGAGCCGAAGTGGGAGGAAAGGGGTCGAAAAGGACCGAATGAAGCCGGAAAGAGCCGAAAGAGGGCGAACGAGGACGGAAAATGACGAGTGAAGACGGAAAGGACCGAAGGGCGATGAAAGGAGCCGGAAAAAAACGAAGGAAGCCGGGAAGGGCCGAAGGARAGACGGAAAAGACCGAAAGAAAGCAGGAAGAGCCGAAGGGAGCCGAAGGGCCCCGCTCCCCGGCCGTTATAGCGCATGCGCACTCCCCCGCAGAGCCCCGGTGCCGCCGCCAGGGGGCGCCCGCGGCTGCACAGAGCCGAGCGCTGCCCCTCCCCCACCCGGGATGGGGACAGGGACAATCCCGGGATGGGGGACAGGGACACCCCCCCGCAGGGATGGGGGACAGGGACAAACCCGGGATGGGGACAACAGGGACCCCCACTTCAGTTGTGCTGGGCCGGGGTCCCTCCCCCCGCTCTGGGTCCCACACCCCACAGCTGTGGGGACCCCCAGGGAGCTCCCCCACACTCATGGGGTCCCCAAGGCCCCCTCCCCCCAGGAATGGGAGTCACAGGGGTCACATTCCCACAGTTAGGGGGTCCCAGAGCTTCCCCCCCCTGCTATGGGGTCCCTGGGGTCCCCCACCCTTCCAGCTGTGGGGTGTGGGAGCCAGGGACTGGCCCCACACTTATGGGGTCCTCAAGTCCCCCCCTTCCCCCAGAAATGGGGTCCCAAGTCTCACCTTCCCCCATTTATGAGGGTCCCAGGGCTCCCCCTCCCATTGTGGGAATCC